TTAAAAACTTAAAAAAAACGCAACATATTATTTTAGATTATATTGGCTGAGAACAAATCAGATCTTATTTTCTTTGCCGCTTGTCTGGTCGCTCGTGTCAGATGCCTTTGCCGTAACGATATTTGTCGTAAAGCTGCTTCCACATGGGGCCAAAGCGACCCAGCATGTCGCCGGAGTCCATTGTCCAGTTGGCGTTGAACCTCATGAAGACGTCCGGACCTTCCTTTCCCATGGGTTGCCACTCGGTCGTCAGGACGACAGGATCCGTCTTCGGCACTGGTTTGCTGCGAATAAAACATGCGCGGGAAGTCCTAGATGTAATGTCGAAGTACTTCCGGTTCATCGTGACTAAAAGTTTGGTTCGTCTAACATAGTGAGGAGAATATCGTATAACACGAAGGTCCCCTGGAATGGCCGAGGTAATCCAACCAATCAGGAACACGTCGTTCGGCCCGCTATTCTTCTCCCTCTATCTACAAAAAACGTGACCTACCCGAACTTGACAAAGTTGCCGAATGCAGTGACCTGCCTCAGGATGGTCAGGGAACGCGGATCTGACGTGTTCCAGGCCAAGACATTGTCAAGGGTCTCTGGCCAGACCAGCTTGTCGTCGTGCGCGTGAAGAGTGCCGCCTCCACTGGGTGCTCCCGTGCCGCCTGCATTTATGATTCTGGTTTAGACTCACTGGCATACACTTTTAGACCTGTTAGACGAGGCCCTGCCTCAGTATTGAAAGCAAACTTACAAGATCCGTCGATTGGGAACTCCGAGTAAAAGGCGTACGTTGGTGTGTCCGGATCCCTTTGAGCGTGCATCCTCAGCGCGCGAACTGTGTCAACCGAGATGTAGGTATCTGAAAAGTACTGTGAAATCAGAAGAGGGCGTGTTAAATACGGCTATATTGAAGATCAGCAGCTGCCAGTCTCACAATGTACCATTGGGTATTTTTTACGAAGCAGAGGTTTGCAGTTAAAATTGATTGCAGCATGCTTTTTTCATTGCGTTTTGCAGGGAAGAGTGTGGTGACGGATGGGTCAGCCTCAATCGCCAAAGACTTGTGATACGGAACACGTGGACTGTTTTTCAGCGGACACGCGCGGGGACGCGTCGGTCGGAGCCCCCCGCTCAGGCCCGGGCGGGCCACCCTGGCCACACAGCTGCTTGCCGGGTCGGCCTAACCAGCGCGTCGCAGGCGCCTTCCGCGAGGACCGTCACGTCCATGCAGTGTGTGTTGAGGGGGGAACGGGGGAGGGGGGCTGTGGCTGTACTCTGCAATAGTGCAGCGTGGCATCTCCTTACTCTCTCCCAACGGCAGATGATGTTGCAGGTCGGATCGACGGCGGTGAGGTTGAACAGCACGGCGCGCAGGTCCGCGGTCTCGTCGTCGTAGGTGAGCGAGTAGGACTCGATGCCGAGCTCGCGTCGCGCGTCCTGCATGGGGATCATGCTCCGGGGCACCATCTCCCTGATGATGGTGGGGGGCAGCTCTCCCAACACTGTCAACGCAAACGGCAGCAGTGAGCCTCGGTGCACCTCTTTGGCAGCGGCGTGGCCGCGATAGGGGGCCGGCCATTCAGGAAAGTACGTCGTCGTCCGACCGTCGCCGTTTCGAACCTGCCTAGTTCAGAATCCGTGCAAAGCTCTTATGGCGCCTTATGGGTAGGCAACATGTTTATTGCAGTGCGCGCGTGTACTGCTGGCTGGCCTACGCCGAGTCTCGCAGGCGCGGAGCTCTCGTGACTTTGCCGAGTGAATCGGCGAGAAACAGACCAGACCACGTACTTTGTGGTACGACTTACTGAAGTACATGTCGCCCATGGGTTCGTACTCGCAGCTCGTGATGCCCATCAGCTTGGGCACACTGGAACGCTCCGGGCGAAGGACGTAGCTCTCCGGGTCTCTCACGATCAGCGTGGGCTCCTCTCCCCCCGAGCGCTTCTCTAGGGACACATAGGGATGGGCAGCGTTCTGCCACAGCCAAATATGGGTATTTGTGGAAACAGTACAGTTATTAGTGCATCGAACCGTTCGTTCAAATTCTAGCAAGCTCCAGGACGGGGGAGGGTGCAAGTATTATGGCATTATGGCATCCCATTAGGTTGGAGGCCCCAGGTACCCCATGATATTTTTATCTACCCCCGGGGTACAGATTAATTGGGGTCCCAATAAATGGGAATCATAAACCTCGAGAGGGCATAATATTTATACCCCCCCTCCCCTTCTAGGGCACGAAACATCTTAACGATGTAAACCTACCTCTGGAGAGGTAACCATATTGTGCAGTGACGCGTACGTGAAGGCGAGGTCGAGGAGGAGAGACGGTGAGTTTTGCAGCAGGACCTTGGCGTCCGCACCGGGCGCCCACTGCTGCATAAACTTCACCGCGGCCTCGGCGTACGGGCGGTGCTGCTCCGAGTAGCCCCAGCTCACTAGTGCGCTCCCGCTCTTGATGATGGCGGCCCGGAACAGTCCTTCAGACAAAAGGCATTTCGCTTACCGTCATAGCGCCTAGGATGAGACTTCAAGGACATTCCATCGAAAACTTAATTTTGTAATATGACGAGAATATGAAGGGAAATAATTAAATTTTCAAAGAAAGTTGAATTTTATCTTTCCCCTGAATGAAAGTAAATTTTTTTGACTGCATTTAGTCGAGGAGATGACGGTCTGGTCTCAGGGATTCAGTGAAATACCCTAGACGTGCTTGTGCATGTGGTCGTCCGTCGGTCTGTTCGGAGAACGTAAGCAACGCGTTTTTGCAAGGTACTTGGCGATCAAACCAGACGTCAAGTCGGTCATTGTCACCGATAAAGTCACCAGTAGCTGACTAAACATAATCTGATCTTATCTGATGGCGATACGTACTTCAATCAGTGACAAGTTTAACACTCTACGAACATTTTCGTCCACTCTTTTTCCTGCGAGTGAAAACAAACTTTTTGTGAACCACTTTAGCACGCTTACGCACCTTCAGTGTCCGGGAGAAGACAAAGCCAGTGGACTAGAACAGCGGCTGAGGAGCAGCCGTTGATGGTCACCTTCTCGGGGTCCCCTCCAAAATTGCGAATGTTGCGCTTGATCCACTTCAGGGCAGCGATGATGTCCTTGAGGGCCGCATTACCGGGGGCGTCGTCAGTGTCCAAGTTAAGGAAACCTGTTTTCAATGAGTAAATTGTCACGTTTGCAGGGAGAAGTGCTGACCAGTTTCTCCACTTGTTTTTGGCAGCCTAGTGGCGCCAAAGAAAAGAGTGCGCGTTTTGTGCGCCTTTACTATCACCAAAATTACTAAGCAATAATTACCATAATTGCTGAGGCGATAGTTGAAGGTGACCACGACGATGCCCTGGTCGACGAAGTAGTCTGGGCGGATGTAGGTTCCCGACCCTTCCTTCATAGCCCCGCCGTGAACGTGAACCAGTACCGGCAGCAGCTCCTGCTTCTGCGAGGAGGGGGAGGTCGTGCAGCTAGCTCGTACTCGACACTACGCGCTTGTACGGGAGCCACGAATATAAAGCGATTTTCAAGCTCCCCTTGGAGCTCTCTCTCTCGCGTACTCACTTGGTTCTGTTCCAGCCTGGGCGAGTACACGTTGAGGTACAGACAGTCCTCGCTGCCGATCTGCTTGTCCACGTCGCCCTGGGTGCAGCGCGCTGACACCATGAGCGCGTCGCGCACCCCGCTCCACGGCTCCGGGGGCCTGGGGCTCTGCGGGCACATCAGTCAGCTTGAAGGCCGTCAGGTTGCATGATCGGAAAAATTAAAACATATCCAGAACGATGGGAAAATATAAAACTTTGATCTCTTAATTTTGTCCTGAAAAGTTTTATATTTTCCCATCGTTCTGGATATGTTTTAATTTTTCCTGGATTAAATTCGGACTTGAAGATTCCTACCTTGAACCGCAGGTCCTTGAGTGGAGGTTTAGCGTACGGCACCCCGAGGAACGCCGCGTACTTAGAGTGGCCCAGCCTCTCGGGCCGGCACAATCCGCGCAGGGCGCCGGACTCCACGGTCGCCATCGGCTCCTTGCACTCCGGGCTGGTGTCGTCGCAAATGCAAACAAAAGTTTAGAGTCTGGAACCCGCACACCCATGTTTAGGATAGCTGCAACACCACGATGATCAGCCACCGTACTTGTTCGGAAATGAGTGGCGAAGAATGAAGAATACTCCTGCCCCTACACCCGCACCGACCAGGATGCAGGCCACAGCGGCCGCTGCGAACCCTGCGAATGAATACAGTTTCAAAATGTGATGCAATGGAATCTTTAACGGTAGGACTTATTGAAGGCGGTTTGGAAAGAGTCGCTTTCTGTCCAGGACACTAATACGCAGCACGCTGGTTGTGCACAACCACTGCCTCTCTTTCGGTGATCTTACGCATGGTTCGCGGATTGTGCATCCTCGTGCGTGTCCACTCTCAGCAGCCCGCTACCCGCGACTGGCCTGAGGAGTAGCGACATCATGTTTCGATGACAAGTGATCTCGAGATAAGGAGTGCACATCGAAGGCGTTACTAAAGACCGGCCATGGGGACGTTGGTGTCGGCCTTATTGCCCCCTCACGCGAGGAGGATAGGGCCAGACGCCGCCGTCCCCCCTAAGCCCCATCCCCTTCGAGTAGGCCCTGGGAAATCGGCTCCCGCGAACAAGTGCGCGCAAAGTGACGCGGGCCGTCAAGTCCAACGGTCGTCCGTCACTGACGCAAATAGTACCGATTCCGGGAAGGAATAACATGCCACCACCTGTTCGCTTGTCGGCGCCACCCTCCCTCTCCCTCTGGACGTCGAATTTCTACTTTTTGTCACAAAAATACATCCGACAGCTTTGAGAGGGGGAGGGGGGTCGGGAGGTCTTGACCTGATCGAAGCGGAGAGCGTCCACTTACTCTGTCCAGCGGAGCGTTTAGGGGCGTATCGGGTCGGACCGACTGTTGTTGTACCGAAGAAATAGCGGCACAGGCAGGTGAACCGTCGAACGGAGGGGCTCAAACAGCGCTCGCGGTGACCTTCGTGTTTTTTGTTTTTACTATGAGGACAGATGATGCTCGCATCATCCACCCGGGGACGCATGGGTCCCGTGCGTTCCGCTCTGCACCTGGCAGTGCTGTTGAACATATCCGCCGCACAGGTAGCCCACACGTCCCGCCCCTCCGTGCTTGTAGTATGTTGTCCCGTACTCATCGTCCTCAAGATCCTCTCCTCTCCGTGCGCAGGGTCCCTTGCCCTGCCCTGATCCGGCGGCGGCGGCGGCGGCGGCACCCCCGTGGCACTCGTGGCAGGCGGTGCTGGATCTGCTGAACGCCGAGGCGCCTACCGCGACCGAGCGTCGATGCCTGGGTCTGCACGCGAAGTGTGGCGACGTCTGGGAGGGACTGCTCGACCGCCTTCGACAGCCGCCAGCCGCGTTACTATTAACTACTATTACTATTATTACTTTATCATTGAATAGTATAATACGATTTTTTTTAGCCGGTATGAGGTTAACTCTGTTTCCTCTAGTCAGAGTTGTCTGAACTAAGGGCTACTTGGGCCATACCAGCGTTGAAACATGAGACTAGTAAAAGGAAATAATAAAGGCGAGGGGGCAATAACTCCGGGAATCATGTGTACACCTGCCTGGGAATCATCAGGGTAAAATTTAATCAAAATCAACAGAAATCGCTTCAAATAAAAAAAAACTCGCACAAATTATTCGAAATAAGCGTTTTCCACCAGTAGAAAACCTAAGAAATGAACATAAGTGGACGGAAATAACTGGGAATCAAGGATTTCGGGAATCATGTGTACACATCAAAAAAGGAGTCATTGCCCCCTCGAATAAAGGCTAGAAACGGTAATTAAAGCTAGTCCTATCACTCCAGTAGTGCACAGTATAGACGGGTGCTACTTGCTAGCCGGTCGGTCTCAGACTGACGTCTCAGCGGGCAGCGCGGCCTGTCGTCCGGCAGGTGGCCTTGTTCCATATGATGTGCCATCAACTATGGAGAACAAAACATGTTTCGAAAACGCTAGAATGAACTTGAACAACTAATTGTTTTCGTCTGTAGCCCTGACACGACTTCAAACGGCACGTTGGGTGAGCAAGAAGTCTTGGCCTACCCGGTGGCCTTCTTCCCGTTCGGGAGCCTTCCGGTTGATTCGCGGGGTTATGGTGCGGAGCGCTGCGACTTGAACGTCATCCTGCTAGATCGCGACGACGCTAAGGGCATCCGCGCTGCTCTCGGCGGTAATTTTAATCCCGTAATTTCTTCCTGAAAAGTTTTCATTTCTTTCCAGTCTCTGGAAATATTTCAAGTTTCCGATTTTTCCGGATAAGTTTCGGACTTCAAAATCCCTACGTCGCGATGTGACGTTTGGGGCTGATGAGAGAGTTTCCGTCGCAGAGTCCCTCTTCCGCGTCTACTCGCGCTGGCCGCTGTCCCGGTTCGTGCTCGTGCTACCGCGGCCGGCCGCCCCGGCCGCCGTGGACGACGTGTTCCTCGCCGTGTGGACCATGACTTCGCACCTGAACGTGGTGGTCCTGAGCCGGCCCCTGGAGTGCGCGTTCTGCAACGACGTGCATGCCTACTGGCCCTTCTACCCACGTATTAGATATTGTTTCTTGAATATTTACTTACCCCTTTGATTGTGCATAAGTTTTCTGAACAGCCCTCAAAACTTTTCCATCGAGTTTCTCTGGGACTTGCTTTGCTCAGCCGCCTGCAGCCTCCCAAGTAGGCAACTCTGGACATGGAAGCAGCCGGGGTTGCCTACGCGGCAGTCTGCAGGCGCCTGATGCTGCGCCCCGCTGGCTGTGCCAGGCTGCAACGACTCGTCCGCCCGGCTGGTGGGCCGGTGGCGGCCCGACACTGGCCTGCGGCTCTGGGGCCATGGCCTCCTCGGGGTGCATGGCGTGGAGCAGCAGCGGCGCAGCGCCTTCCCGCTGGAGGCCGGGCCGGCGGGCGCGTGGGCGCTGCGCAGACTGCACCACCTCGGGTGTCCGCTGCGGGTCGGCTTCATGAATTTCCCCGGTGAGTTCTGCGCGGTCGCCCGGATCTGTTTTTTAGGCCTACAACATTGTGACCTCGAAATTTTGCCCTATTCTTGTTTCATCCACTATCGTTGAAAATATGATCGTAGGCTACCTCAACTACTCGACGCACGGCGGGGGCTACAACCTATGGGGTGTCGGCGCTTCCTTACTTCGTGCCTGCGAGCAGCGCCTCAACTTCACCGCAAAGGTCGGTTGTTAGTACCACCACCACCTCGGTCGCGCCATTCGGCTGCATATTTC